ATCTCTGACCTGAGAGTTCAGTGAGCCAACATAACTTGAGCTCAAGTTTCATGATATTGAATCTCTGACCTGAGAGTTCAGTGAGCCCACATAACTTGAGCTCAAGTTTCATGATANCCCACATAACTTGAGTTCAAGTTTCATGATATTGAATCTCTGACCTGAGAGTTCAGTGAGCTGACACAACTTGAGGTCAGGTTTTATTTTCGCCGGCAATTCAGGGACTTTAATGTTTCTAAAATATTTTTTGTGCCTGTTTGATTATAAATTTAAAGTGAATATTTTATATTATTTTTGTGATTAATAGTTTAAATATTTTTTGTTGTGATAGTTTCTCCAGCAGCAGTTTTACGTGTGAGAAGACTCCTTAAAGTTTATGAAATAAGCAAACGGCTCCATAATCAATGGTTATGTCCATGAGAGTTTCTCTAACAACTTACTGATGAGCTGGAAAGTTGAAAACTTTTGTACTAACTATTTTGCGTGTATCATGAGTTGAATGCTTTTCAGTTTTTTATTCCTATGATTTTAGGGTGAAATTAGTTATTTATGGTCAATTCCTCTAATCAATTCAGGACCCGTTCCGGAATGTGAAAACTATTGCGAGCAAACTTGGACATTGAAACATAACCATATTGGTGATTATAGTATATTTAATAATGTGTTTACCAGAAACTTCCGAAAGCAGCCGTTCACGCTTCGTTTTAATTCATACGACATATTTTAATTTACACTAAAAAAATCACCGATTCGACACTTTGCCGAATTCGCCGGCAATACTGAACGGATCTGCATGAATTTCAGGATATAGCCAATTATTAGCAATTTGCAGGTTCAGCAATAATTACGGATTTTTACAGCAATTATACTATGATATTAGGTTAGTTTAGACTAATATAAGTAAGATTAAGTTAGTTTTTATCAAAAGCGAAATGAAGTAAGAATGTCTAATAATTCCTGAACCTGCTGATTGCTAGTAATTGTTATGCTCCGAATTTTTTCAGTTCCGTTTAATATTAAAGGAATAATGAATGATTTGGTTTTGCGTTTCAGTTCGTAGAAGTGTCGAGCCAGTCATAAAATCCGACTTAATTGTGTTTCCATTTTTCACTGACATTATAAGGTCGCAGAACGAAATGTTGATTTCTTTATTGAAAAAATGGTTTGAAATTGATTCACAAGGAGCTTTCAGAGTGGGATATATAAGGGATTTGAATCAGTGTTAAATTCATAATCATTATAGTACGAACTAAATATCTTTAGCCATTCAAATACCCGTTACTATTTCACAAAAGGCAGAGTATATTAATCCTAGCCTTTAATGAGCATTAACGTTTTATTACCTACGTTTAGAAATTAGACGATATGGTAATTTTCCCTGAGTGTTTAGATCGTCACGAATCATAACCCCAAACTATGCAATATTAATATTCTATTAATTGAGATGGCAACAGATCTGAATACGTCGGGTTATCAAGGGAATTTTGTTGTTGAAACAACATACTAATGCTATATGAAAATAAATCTTAGAAGTTTGATGTTGTTTGGAATGTTCTGCCATTTATATGCTATTGAATATTTATGTCTTGTGGCAGAGCTCTAATGCTGAAACAACATTTAATGCGAATGATGCCTGATTACAAAATAACAGTTCGCTGCACTATGTAGCAAACTTTTATGTTTAGTTTATTAAGTCTTTTTCATTGATATATTTTTGTACAATAACTACATTTTTACATGTAGTTATTCATTTATTTTTCATCTAAAGCCAATTAACTCCAATGAAAATATATGCAAGTTTTTCTATAAATTTGGCGAGAGAAAGTTCATAGTAACATGTGTCATCATTGGATAAAAAATTTACTTTTCTTAACAAAAATTTATTATAATATATAATAATAATTTAACAGGAGTCTTCACCCAGCATCTGTACCTACGCAGTAGAATGATCCATAAGTTAAGTTTCATCAAATAGATCAGATTGAGAGCCGAACATTTCTTTAAAAGGTAACATATCGTTCAAATTTGCAAACATGATATCTCTCATGATAACGTATTATGTACCTCGAAAAGACGCCACCATGTTCTTTTCGCGAGCTCACAGGTCTAAAAATTAATAATTTTTTAGCTCGTGCTACGTATCATAGTATTTAGAACATGAATTCCCAACGAAGAACTCGCACTCTCAGCCAAGTTTCGGCCGCGAATGCAGTTGTTTTTGTGTTGCGTGAAGTGCAGGTTTCATGACATGGGAATTTTTTTACCGAAATATAATTCTTTAAAACACTTGCATTTATGGAAAAAATTTACATTTTTGCAACTCTCTTATTTTTGATTTTGATAGCGTATGTGGAATTCAGTTCGAACAAAATGACGCTCGTCAGCAAGTGTTGTAATGATAGCGTAAAATGTATTTAATCTGCCACCCTCCCACTACATATACATGCACAGAGATATTGTATAGAAGACGCAGTACCCGATTTCCTTGTCATTATTTTACTTTTTCAGAGTATTTGTTTCCGTGTTGAAACCTGTCTCCATAAAAATATGTGGAATTTTCAAACACTTATTAATTAGTTAATTAGATTATACCTGGAATTTTCTGTGTTGATTTCATATTTCTGTTGTAACAATCACACGCACGCCAAGCATGAGGCGGTTAAGTGTGGCGCGCTAAACATGAGGCTCTGTGTGGTACAATCATGCGGTACGCTAAACATGAGGCTCTGTGTGGTACAATCATGCAGCACGCTAAACATGAGGCTCTGTGTGGTACGATCATGCGGTACGCTAAACATGAGGCTCTGTGTGGTACAATCATGCGGTACCCTAAACATGAGGCGTTGTGTGGTACAATCATGCAGTACGCTAAACATGAGGCGTTGTGTGGTACAATCATGCAGTACGCTAAACATGAGGCTCTGTGTGGTACAATCATGCGGTACCCTAAACATGAGGCGTTGTGTGGTACAATCATGCAGTACGCTAAACATGAGGCGTTGTGTGGTACAATCATGCAGTACGCTAAACATGAGGCTCTGTGTGGTACAATCATGCGGTACCCTAAACATGAGGCGTTGTGTGGTACAATCATGCAGTACGCTAAACATGAGGCGTTNTATTCATCATTCACTCTTTTCGTCAAACGGTCTCTATGAGTTTTAATTTTGATCGAACGAAACAGCGTAAAAATTTCCTTCGTATTTATCATAATTGGAATTTATATCTTACTATAGTCGAGAACAAGTAGGAAATTCTATTGACACTTGTGAGGTTTAGTTAAGGATGTTGAATTATCCATAGAAGTAGATATTTGTGAGGTACAGTGCCGGAAATGGCTATATACGACCACCCAGTTTTCACCAAATACTTTTTCTTGCACAAAAAAATATCGGATTCTAATTATACGAGGATAAACTACGTAAAAAACCTTTCCGAGGATATGCGAAAAAAATAATTTTCTCAAAATATATGAGAAGAAATTATGAAAATTAGAAAAACCTAGGTGGAAATGGTTATAAGACCATGATAGGTTTTCTCCATTTCGGTATCTTTCTGTAATATTTTCACTTTAAAATGTACAGCAATATAAAGAATATCTCGATTTTCGTCATTCAGGGCCTTTCTGGTGTACTTCTGGTGTAGTTCAGTGTCCTCACTTATATATTATTAAGTAAAAATATGCCAAATGTGACAAGACTCACTGAGGCCGAGAAAGCGCAGATTTTCGGCTTCGTGAAATGCAGTAGAAGCCAACGGAACATCGCAATGGGAATAAAACGCTCAAAACCCATTCATTGCACAATCATTTTTTGCTAATCCGGACGGCTACGGGTGAAAAAAGCGCCCTGGACCAACACCAAAATTAACCAACAGGGATCTTAGGAGACTGTTTTCTGAGGCTTCTAAAACTTGCGCTACCTCTACCTCTATAAAATTGGCCACTGGAGTTGATGTAACAGCAGGATGCATACGTTAGATATTGCATGACTCGAAGAAACTCAAATACATGAAGAGGACAAATGCCCCTGTGCTCCAACAAAAGCATATTATCAACCTACAAATATTTGCTGAAAAAATTTGCTTATTGGTAAGGGATGGGACAAGATTATCTTCAGTGATGTAAAAAGTTCAATCTTTATGGTCCAGATAGATGACAATGCTATTGGCACCACTGGACCGTGAGCCTGAGCTTTTTTTCAAGCGGCAGTCTTGTGGTGCATGGTTCGGTCATGGTTTGGGGTGCGTTTAGCCGAAAGGGAAAATCAACTCTAGCTATTTTACATGGGAGACAAGATTCCGTGGATTACAAGCACACGCTGTTTTACCAAATTCTCCCTTTTGCCGATGAGAAACATGAGGGATCATATGTTTTCCAACATCACAATGCTTCGATTCACACCTCAAAATCAGCAAACATTTGGTTCCTAGAGCAGAATATTGCTCTGTTGCCGTGGCCGGCGCTTAGCCCTGACCTCAACCCCGTTGAAAACTTATGGGGCATCATGGCGAGGGATGTTTACCAAAATGAGCGCCAGTTCCAATCTGTGAGTGACCTGAGAACGGCTATCCTTCGTTTTTGGGATAATATTTCTCAAAAGACACTGGATTATATGGTAAATAGCGTGGGGAGAAGATGCATTAAGGTTATTATGGCGAAAGGAGGTGAAATTGCCTATTAAAACGAGTGTATATGTGATCCACAAACGGAAAAACATATCTTGGTCTTATAACCAATTCCACCTAGGTTTTTAAGATTTTCATCATTTCTACTCATATATTTTGAGAAAATAATTTTTTTCGCATAGCATTGGAACCGTTTTTTTGGAAATATTGGAAACCGCATTGGAAATATTTTTTTGTGCAAGAAAGAATATTTGGAGAAAACTGGGTGGTCGTATAGCCATTTCAGGCACTGTAGATAAGTTGCAGACCCGCTAATATGTTTGGTTTTGTGGAGGTTTTGAAATTATGCAGGTAACAAATAGCACAGATCAAGATGAAACTAAGCGACTTTTTCTTTTTCAGTGAAAAGTTAGAGATCTGTCTTGAATTTAATAAAGCATTTAGTTGGAAAGTTTGAGGCAGGATGCTGCTACTGTTGTACCTGCTCCTTCTCGGGGTGAGTGAAGCGCAAATTAATTCAAATAGTCTTTCTATGAAGTAATATACACATTTTACTTTCAGACACTGTACGAATACTGAAAAAGAAACAAATTCAAAAGTGTTTCTATAGTAGTTTTTTAATATTCGCAGTTATGCTCATTCAAAAAATTATAAGGTCCGTGGTATCTTTCCCACATGAAAAAATCCTGAATAGGTATTTGTGTTTATTTTCTTCTTAGCTCTTTGCATTTGTTTTAACTAGGAGTATGCACTAAAAATTGAAGAAACAACGATTACGTTTAAAATTTGGAATGAATAATGTAAAATACGCAGGAGCTCGTAACCGTTTAGAAGTTTAACGATAAGGTAAATCTGACGTTAATTTCTGTTTCAGGGAGCGTCCAGCTCAACTGTACCATCAACGACGGTAAGTTGAACGGTGAAATTTAACCCTCTTGATAACGACTAATTTATGCGGCACCAACAGCGTCAAGAACCTCATCGCTCAAACCATGACTTAAATTTTAGAGTTACGCATTAAGTTGACAATATTTGTTGCTAGATACAATTTTTAGACGACACTTACAGTATTCGTACTTTCAATCAGTTTGGGACATATAGTAAGTGAACCCCTTGCTAACCTCCTTTAATAAGTGAATTAAAGGAGCTGCTCCATGCCGAGGAGGTGGCATGCGTGCGCCGCCTGCTGCCAAATTATTTTTGTTAGGCAGTAAATATTTTATCAACACCGAAAAAAATTCATGGAACCCCTATATGGCTTCCCTCAAACGCGTAATACTGCTATGAATTATATCATTAATATTTATATTGCGCAATCCTTTTTTGATTCTAGAAGAATACATACAACACTGCAATGTGATCACATCGAGGTAAACTATGAAAAAACTGACGGATATTTTTTTCAGATAATTGTACCATCAATGACGTACCCTCCTGAGTTCAACACGTGCTCCAAGACTCCTGTAAACGTCCAGTTCCACTCTTTCATTGCCGGTAATGTGGTGTACAAGCGGCAAGTTGTGAGCGCTGATGATCAACTCTGCATGTCGTCGGTGGCTGTGAAGCTCAACACCACCAAGTTCTCTGACTGCGCAAAGATCGCGGCTTCTGAAGGTAATGAGTTAACCGTGCGTTATGATAAGAACGATAACGTATTGTGCAGTTTATGATGATCAGGAAGTGGATGGAATCAGCATCAGAAGTTCCGGGTTTAATATGTACCTTCAACATCAGTATCTCCTTCGAATTAGCTGAAGCCAATTTTTATTCAGTTTGTTCTTTATATCTCGCGGCTGCGAAGAGAAGAGGGTGTTGCTGCATGATCAACAGTAGGCACTCCACATTAAGCTGTCCACTGCCCAGGCTCTGTATAGCCTATGAAACATTTGCCTCGATGGATACCCAGAAATTCCTTTCAAAAATAAGAGAACAAAACGCTAAAATCATAAAATTGTGGGAGAAAGATCAAAAATATTTGTTGCGCCAGTTGGAATTTCCGAGCAAAGTGCCCTAGTTCATCATTGTCATTGGCCAGGAACTTTCAGGAGCGGATTTTGAACTTTCACGGAGACCCGGCTGGCTGAAAACGGCACGAAAAGAGGAGCTATTTACACCTTCTATTGATAAGGGAAGTTTCCGAACCGACAATATTACCACGGCGGTGAGAGAAATGCTAGTCATCTCCACAGAGTCCATGAAGCATGTTGAGGGCTTAGCCCTCCGGCCTTGAGCTATTAAGATCTTATGGTCCAGTTAACATTCTCAACGTGTATTAACCCTCTTCTCAATTATTGAGGTGAAATGTCAGTTTTACAATACCTTTGATGAAGCGATTCCCAGGATCACCGGCATTGACGAAATCTACCTCCTCGGTACGTTTATGCAGGAGCAGGAGCTAGAAATGAAATTTGGTTCATCCACCTGACAAGTTTAAAAGAGGAATATCATTGAAAATGGCCATAGTATTCCATCACTCGTACCATTCAGCTCCAATATTCGAACCGTGACGGACTGAGAACCTCTTTTTCAAATCAAATGAAAAATGAGTCTTCATCTGCTATAAAAACGATTCGTGATGTTGTCTCCGGCGCTAATTCGCTCTTGTGATGGCCAGAAGAAAAGACATTGGCAATGCTACTCTCGCCCGAAGGTATCACAGTGCAGAATGTGACACGGACAACGAAGCTACACTATATCATCTCCCCGTGAAATACAGATCCAGACTATGATATGACGACCAAGATGAATTAAGGATTAATTTCCGTATTCACTTTACAATTAGTTCTAAATGTGAAATTTTCTAACAAGATGAACTCTATTGAGTATAAAATTTCTTGATGCCGGCCTAAAATGAAATAGTCCCTGCCTTAGGATGTTGAAAATGTGTACGTTGATTAATACAAGTGCATTAATATTCCATGCCCTTCAAACTCTAACATCATGTGCTATAGAGAAGAGGTTTAATCATACATATTTGATTCGTGAAGTGAAGCAATTAACTAATATCCTATTTTTTCAGCGTTCAATTCGTTTTACTTTGACGATCAAAATGAGTGTTGGGCTTCGAACTACTGGGTGTCTGAGGCAACAGTGGCGTGCTCAGGCCAGGGTGTGGTCGTCTACTTCTCGGATGTCAGGCTGTCTAATTTCACCTTGCCTAGTAAGTGATGGTTTTCTTCGTGAAACGTAAAACCCATGGTTATAAATTGGTTTATAATGTGCATGTTTCTACCTAAATCCTACCTAAATCAGAACGTATATTGTCACGACTCCTAATTTTCATTGTTTCAGCTCCTACAATTACCGAGTTTACTGTCACTGACCCGAAACTTGGAGAATCGTTCACCGTCAACTACGTTGCCCCTTGCTCGAAGTTCTTCAACTTTACTCTCAATTATGGAAGCGAAAACCTTGGGCTTGTGATGTCTGGCCAAGTTATTCCATACGATGTACCTCCCTGCACAACAATGACTTTCACCCTAACACCTTCCTTTGGAGAGACATCAGGGGCGCCTGTGAACGCAGATTGCATTACACCTGATGGTGAGACTATTTCAATGAGCATATCAAATTTTCTACATGAACTCAAAATTGAAATAAATTCTTGTGATATAATATTGAGGAAACCTCACATGTTAAATTTCCCATTTGAACAATTTATATAGTCACAATATGAAAATGTCATTGCGTGCATGTTAAAATTAATTCCTTTTTATAAGCTGCCGACTTGCTGAGCTTCGCTGTGTACAATATGGCGTTGCGGTTTCAGTCGCCAAGCTCTGTCAAACGATAATTGGAATAACCAGAATTACTTTACAGTTCCAGACGTGGACAATCTCAGCATCGACACCTTTGTGTTTACCACGTCCTTCGTGGTGCACTTCACACCTACATGTCCTGAAGTTTTCACCTACAACTTGTTGAAGGACGGTTCTTCCGTCCAACCTGATGTGCAACCAGACGCATCGGTCTCGTTCGCCGTACAGCCATGCACCACGTACTCCACCTTCACTCTGCAACCTGTGAACCCGAACGGGACAAATGCCGGAACTGCAATTCCTGTTCCTACCGTGACAACTCCTAAATGTGAATGTTTTTGTTTTGTTTATGGATAATATTTTGGAACACGTTTCGTGTTTTAGTTTTTATTTTCGGTGGTGCTTGTTGTTGTCCAAAATTTATGATTTGACCTTCCTGAATGACGCTCCCTGCAATGATGAATTCAGGATGAATTTAAAACTTGCAGGGACAGAAAAGACGTTCGCCGTGCAGCCATGCACCACGTACTCCACCTTCACTCTGCAACCTGTGAACCCGAACGGGACAAATGCCGGAACTGCAATTCCTGTTCCTACCTTGACAACTCCTAATTGTGAATGTTTTTGTTTTGTTTGTGGATAATATTTTGGAACACGTTTCGTGTTTTAGTTTTTATTTTCGGTGGTGCTTATTGTTGTCCAAAATTTATGATTTGACCTTCCTGAACGACGCATCCTGCAATGATGAATTCAGGATGAATTTAAAACTTGCAGGGAGAGAAAACCCATTAAATAACGTTATAATAGTCTTTAATGATCCAAGATGATAAATTAATTTTTCTATATAATATTTTATCTTATTTAATGTACGTTTCTTGGATAGAATTTCACATTTCTTTGCAGTCTTATCCATGTGAATGAATATGACCATACCTCCACTCCAGACCTCTACGCAGCCCCACTCTGTGAAATGTAATTCCTAACCTCGCCTGTCAGGCTACGCGAAGTCATTCCAAAACTTCTAGTTTTTTCAGCTCGGTTACAGCCCAAATTGTGTGCATCCACACCCACATCCATTAATGAAATAAAAACAAACTCTATATTTTTCAGTGTTGGTATTGAATGCTGCCACGGTTGTCAATGTAACGATGGCTGAAGGACTCAAAATACATGTGGACATGTACGACCCTTGCTCACTTGTTAGCGGCATCGAGGTCCGCACGCCCAGCTCATCCGCAACACCCATCATCCATCATCCTTCGTCTCTTGACATCGTCGTCAGTTGTTCACAGACGGACGACTTCAGTTCGTTCACAGTCACTCTTCTGACAACCGAACCATACACTCCGGTGCAAACCAAGACCGTCTCCAACGTCGATAGTAAGTATGGTTGCTGAATCTCATGTTAATTAGTATGTAGTAAAAATGCGAGTTGCTAAACCTGCGCAACGCTGCTGAAAGAAAATAGAATATCGTACAAATTAGTGAGTTTAAAATTGAAGTAAAAAGTTCGAAAGAGAATAATTTATGAACTAACGTATATATTCATTTCGTGCAATAAATTGTTGCATACTTCTTACAGTGTGCAATATTCCGATCGAGCAGTTCCAGGAAAAAATTCACTGTCGTAGAATTTTGGATGAAAATGAATTTGCTTTGTTCTCCTGTCAATCAGGGACCGCGTATGTTTACTCCTGTTTCTTATGTTTAATGAAACTCTAAATGCGCTTGCGCAGAATGGAAGTTTGAACATAAGTTACAGTTCAGTTGTTTCTACCTATTTATGTTCTTTGTTGAAATAACTGTATTTCGATGTATTTGTTGAATGAAGTCATATCGAAAAAGTACATTAACGGTCCTATAAGTGACAAGGGAATATTTGATAGTGCACCTGGAACAAGACCTTTAATTTCATTTATAAAATGAGGGGCAATCCTAGTTCAGCTTTGAATTACGAGTATATACTTTATCTTTCCAATATATTAGTAAAATCTGAATGATAGCAATATTATTTTTGTGCGACGATGTTCTCAAAAATTATAGATAAAAATTTAAATGAACAATTTGTTGCAAAAATTAAATGATTTTGTATCTCCAGATCTGTTAGATGGCATGACCATCACTCCATTTCCGGCTGTGGGCAAGTGCTACGCATATGAAGAAACTAATGTCACTCAAACCGCGGCCAAAACCAAATGCGAGAACCACTGCTTGAGACTGATCAACTCTCGGGAAATGTACTTGCTCTACCGCAACATTCCGGCGTCTAATCGTGCGTTTGTGATCCAATATTAATAATTATGACTGCTTCATAAGCTTTGTTTAATATCGAGCATACTAAGACAATATAATCACCGCACACTCCCTCCACTCTATTTTTTTATGTCAAGTGCGTTTTAATCGTAGAATATGCAACTATTTTAGCGATTTATTGCATCTATTTTAAAACTTAGAGAATTTTCAGTTTTCACATGGGTTTAGGAGTCGCGTGAACTATCACACTTTGGACTAAATTCTTCCTGGTGTTATCGCAGGGCTTCCTAGCCTCTCAAGGTTTACAGGGATAAAGTTTTTTTTTCAAGACAATGCAGAGCGAGAAATTGGGGTTCATAAAATAAAAAAATGCGCCGACCTTAAATTTTAAAATTTCACAATGTTTAGAGTTTATTTTTCTTGATTTTGATTTCTTTAATGAGATGATTAAAATATCTTCTAATATATTTGATTATTGTTATGAATCCATTTAGTAACCTAATATGCTTGTTATTATGCATCTACATGTCGCCTCTACAGTTGAATGTTGAGTGCAATATTTATCTATTCAGATTATAAATGTATTTATATTGGTTTAGCGAGCTTTTTTGATTTAGACACAGTAGATGCACGACGATTTCAGTAATGAGTAAATCGGAATATGATAGAACAAATTTACTTGAATTTCATACGTATTTCATAACTGGAGATAAATTGGAGTTCAACGTTGATTATGGGCCTGAACAGGCCTATTTAATATGCTTTACTTTTGACGAAATTCGGGCTAACTGGGTTCTGGCTGACAAGTTTCGGGGAAAAAATAAATTTAAGAATAATTTTAGTAACGTTATGAATAATATTGACAAGTTTAAGAATTATATCATTAAGTTTAAGAATAATATTATTAAGTTAGGGAATAATATCGATACGTTTGCAAATAATAATAAGTTTGAGAATAATATCAACGAGTTTGAGAGTAATATTAATAAGTTTAAGAATAATATCAATAAGTTTGAAAATAATTTTAATAAGTTCTAGAATAAAATTGACACGTTTAAAAATAATATTCATAAGTTTGAGAACAGTATTACTAAGTTTGAGAAAAATATTGACAAGTTTAAGAATAATATTACTATGTTTGAGAATAACATTATTAAGTTTAAGAAAAATATTAATAAGTTTGATAATAATATTAAAAGTTTATGAATAATATCATTAAGCTTAAGAATAATATTAATAAATTTGGGAATAAAATAAGTAAATAATAATAAGTGAATTCTATAATCTCATTCATTATCTATCCCGGCATCACCACATGAAATTGCTGGCCAGTAATATTATTTATTATATATTTCGGTGAATGAGTTTGTCAGAATGCCATCGTTGTAAATATACATGTGGCTGTTCAACAAAATCATTTTTCTAGCTTAGCACGCATGAGGCATTGAACAAACAGCTAATCAATCGTAAAATTAAACTTTTACAATTTCAATGTTTGCCATAACTAAGAGTTTGCTATAACTGTTTGCTATAACATAATGTTTGCTATAACTGTTTGCTATAACATAATGTTTGCTATAACTGTTTGCTATAACTGTTTGATATAACAAAATGTTTGCTTCTCCCATTTTGCTAAAACAAAATGTTTTCTATTACTAAATGTCTGCTATAACTAAATGTTTGCTATTACTAAATATTTGTCAATGCTAAATGTTTGCTATTACTAAATGTTTGCTATTACTAAATGTTTGCTATTACTAAAATCCCTTGTGAATCAAGTCACGAAAAGTTCAAGAATCGGCAACAGGCCATGGGCCTATGTCTTCAACGCCGACACTTCTATTCGATGAAGCTAACTTACTGAAATATTTCGCTCAGAAGCACATTTGAACTATCGCTAAACCCACTGCCCACTGCTTTTTAGTGTTATAGGTTAAGTGTACACTCTATAGGTGATTGTACACGGAGATAGTGCAGACGGCTAGTAAATCTGGCAAGTGTCGGTCGCTTGGTGACTATCCGGCTAGTAAGCCTGTACATGAGGAGAGTATAGGTGCCGCTACCTTCTCGCTAGTCGTTCGTGCCCGCCAGTGCGTCGTTAGAAGCCGTCGAGTGAGGCCTGCGAAGATGAATTATGAGATCACCTTCAACAACTCGAGTCTGTACGTTATTTTTATAATCTTCATTCTAGCCTCTATAAATGCAACGTCGGGAACAAGTAAACCCTGACTAATAAGGTCTTCTTTCAATTTCATAATACTCGCATGGCGAACATTCCACATTAATTTATATTTTTTGAATATCTCAAAGAACAATTGAATATCGTCTGGACTCTACTTTGTTGGGTTCTACTTAGAACCATTATCGTTCAAACAAGCTATGATTCACTTGACCTAAGATGCTTCACAAGAGCGGCAGACATGCTCTCACCATGGCTGCCTTAGCGCTCCTGGCCGCCCGCCGCTTCTCCAGCGAAAAAATCAACACATCGTCGTCGCTCTCGGCCGCGTCTCAGGCACATGCCTCTGAAGCGGCTGAACCCCCATACACGAGGACAGTAGCGTAGACAGTTCAAGCGGCGGATGAACTGGCAGCCAGTGCTGTGCCTGTGTATAGGCACCTTTAGGAATGAAATGTAATCTAAACTTCGGTTGTAAGAAAATGGACAAATGAAAGTCTGAACGAAAATGTTACGCAGAGGATCTCAAAACTCTGAGTATTTTAAAAATTTATAACTCAGTATTCACTGCAGTGAGTGACAGAGAACTCATTTTCTAGTCGAATAAAACGCGAAGTCACGGATGGACAGACAGACCGACAGACGGACGGACGGACGGACGGACGGACGGACATGACGAGCACAATAGTGCATTTTTTCCATTAATGAGAAAATGCGCTAAAAATATAAAATTAGGAATGTAGTTTCTGGTTCTCAAGGTTACAACTATTGTTGTTTCGTTCTCTCAAATTCTCTGAGATTTTACTCGAAAATCAACCTATTATTACACGTTCTTCATAAGAAAATTTTCATCGATTCAGTAGGTCGTCATCTTCAAAAATTAATCAACTGTCTTACTTTGGTTCATCGCGCACACATATCGAGTGGCAGCTCCTTGGTTAGGCTGAGACTTTCTAACGTACGTTGCAGGCTCGCAATCCCGGGCGCTGTCTCGGCGCGCCTCCTTCAAGCTGGATAAGGAGAAACTGGAGCAGCTGGAGCCTGGCGAGCTGGTGTGGCTCGGCCAGCACTACATGGAGGCTCACGATGAGGCCAGGAAAGAGATCAAAGAACTCGAGGTAAGACCAATGGGAAGCACGAATAATTTGAAACGATATCGAAATTTGTAATAATGGAGGAAACAGCTAGAAGCAGTTTCAAAGCAAAAAAATGTCTGAGATGTTAGGTAGGTATCTCAAATTAAGAGATTGTTCAAAATAATTCATTGACGGGGTGTAACAACAGATATGAGGATCACGATGAATAATGTAGTATAATATGTAGATGTCATCAAGCGTGGGCCCTTCGATATGATCAAGCGCGGGCCCTTCGATATGATCAAGCGCGGGCCCTTCGCTACGATCAAGCGCGGGCCTTTCGCTACGATCAAGCGCGGGCCCTTCGCTACGATCAAGCGCGGGCCCTTTGATATGATCAAGCGCGGGTCCTTCGATATGATCAGGTAAGATTTGGGGTAAATGGTTGTGGTAACCTATGATTTAAGCTGTTTATGGAAAGTGTGACGATACACCCCTTTTGCTAGCTACTTACAGGGCTGGGCAGATATAATGAATAATGAAATAATTTTTAGAAAAAATTTCCAATATCTGTAACTAATTTTTATGCAATATTGGCCGACATGCGTGATACTTGTTCATCCAAATCTTGAATGGAGCTCAAGTTTAATGAAATTTCATAGTTTAGAATTTTGCGCAATGTACGAAATATGATCATTTCTCACCTCCTTGGAGATTGAAGATGACAAATTTGCGAAGAACCAAGCGACAGAAACGTTCATTAACTCTAAAACCAGGAATATGACCACAAAGGCCGGATTACTGACGATCCAACGCACTACGAAAAAAATACTGAACATTGTAGAGAACAGCACGAAAAATAGAATGGAAATTATGGACCAGCTGAGTGCAGCCATCATGATTTGTTGAGCTAAAACAATTTTGCGCAGGAAAATGTCCGTTTTCTCCAAGCTCTTCGTAGTTAGGGTTGAATGTTTGAGGTTTGTTGATGCTTCCATCGGGAGAAATGGCACAGCGAAACCTGGGAAGCTTGAGTCGATCATTTCGTGCAGGGTATGGCCGTGAGCCGTTATAGATTTTCTGTAAACTGTCGCAATGGAGTTGGTCATAATATAGCTAATGACCACTAAGGTAGCGATATTTAAGTAGATGTTGATGACGGATAGAGTACTCTGGAATACTGCCATTAGTGATTGTGCTCCTGTGATAAGCAATGGAGTACCAATGCAAACCAAAGCAATTGCAACATATTTTTGCCTTCTGGTTAGTGAGAGATCTTTTTCAGCGATTCTGGCGGATTTGGCGAGCGAAATTATCATTTTCAACGACTGCGCCAGATACATGTTGTTCAAAATAAGAGAAATATTTGAACAGAAATCGATAATAGCTTCCAGTGCTGTCCACAATCGGAAGCTAATAACGTCGGCTGAATTATGGTATTCTTCGAGAATAAATTCTTTACTGATGATGTACCAAACGATGAGAAGGGTTCTGCCTGCGTGGAAACAAACGCACCAAGTGATCTTCTTGAAGGAAGCTCGTCCAATTTTTATGTACCGTTGCAGCATGTCTTCTTTTCCGTCATCATTTCGCTCCTGAGTTTGTCCAATTTCGTAAAAGAAAAGTCCCAGGAATTGCATTAGAGATAACGTGAATTTCATCATTCTGGTGTTTCTTTTCGTGTAGAAAATAAGAAGTTATTAGCACTTGTTGGTGTTGTGGAAAAAAAACAGGACACTTGGTTCCACTCGATAGAAAGAATAACTTTAAGGCTAACTAGAATCAAATCCCCTTTTTAATGAATTTTCCCGTACCTTTTTTTAGTGAGCGAAAGTTCACAGCTATGAGAATGCGCATCAAGACACTTGGTAACTTGTCATAATCTTTTCGAATGACAATTTCTTTTCTACGTGAATACGTTTTTAAGACTTAGAAATGTTATTCACCTCCACCTTTGGTCTGATCTTAGATAATTTCATACTTCAATGTCATTTCTTCCCACTTTCCAAGGTTAAGAATTACGAATGATTCTCAGTCACACAAATTTTAGGTTATCACACCAAAGCATATAGTTGTAGATAATGAAATAACATTAACGAAATGTTTTATAGTGAACTTTTCTTTGAGCGAATATCAAGAAGCTGAACGTCTTCATGCGAGGACCATCGAACGCCGAATGGCAGAGCACAACAAACACCAACGTCCTGATGGATATTTTAATAATTTATGCTCTGCCGCCCTCAAATTATACTCTCATCAAGACGAAGTGAGTTTACAGGGATACGCTAAATTTGTTTGCCTTATTTGCGTTACGTTCACTGACAACAATGCACCACTTTAGCCTTGCACCCCAAGAATATCTAGATAAACAAATTAATTGCTCGAGCACAGAAAGAGCGAATACCATATCAGGTCCATTATTTCTTCATGGACTAATTTATCAAAGGAATCAAGGCCAGGCCAGATTAATATTTCCTGCATACAGAGTTTATTTTTGCTATTCACTTGCCTTACAATGTAACGTGCAAAACAAAGACATTAATTATTTCGTAGAAAATAACTTGATAATAATTCGCATTATTTTCCGCATCTCAATGAGAAAAGTAAAATATTTTGATATATGATGGTAAGTTCATTAGCTGCCCTACTCGTAAATTCATAATCAGAATTCTAATTGCAATGAATAAGCAAAATATTTATGAGATACTTGACACGGAATAGCATCTGCGATTACTCCAGCCGCCAACAGAAATCTAGTGAATTTAGTGAAGACCTTCGCCTCGATCGATGCTTCTTGTAAAATATGCATCAAATGTTCAGTTATTTTCTCGCGTTTAATCTCAGAAATGTGAACTGGAAGCTCTGACAGCTGCGTAAATACTAAGAACAAAGCTGCGCCAAGTGGATGAAATCATTTCACAAATTGTCGACATCCTCTCGCAAGAATTACCCAGCGATATTCAGCGTATTATTCATCATCAATTCGCTAGGGTTGGTGATCTGATCTAGACTTGTATTTGGCCTTGTTTGTTGCGCTTGACAAAATTTTGTAGGCAAGTAAATTTCTTATTCCAAGAAATAATTTTCCTAAAAATGTTTAACGGACGAAGATTTTCTTTGATGGTATTTGCTCCTCTATCAATTCGATCGCGAGGTAATTAGATTTTTAGGTCCCAGCTGCCCAAGATCGTTTAATAAACCTCACGACTGCGTTGGAATCGAAAATTTCGAATTGTTTTCTGGAATCTCCCATTTTCGCTTAAGTTAATTAACGCACAATTTACATTTATTTTGACTTATTAAAAAGAAAAATTTATTATTTATTATTATTACTTATTTTTTAGAAAATTTGGATTAAGTTTCCTTGATTAATATCAGCAGTTCCTATCGCGGATTCAAGTTTGTGGAACCAATATTCCTTGATGGTTTATTTGAGATCATATTGATGATCGTTAATTAGTTCACAATCACAACATGAGCCTCACCTTGGGTTGAAATTTTTGCAGAAAATAGAAATGTGGTAGTATCATAGTTAAAACATAAATGTTTGTTTGAAATTTCAAGTGCCTCAATAAATGTCTAGAGTTATATTGGACTCGTGAATTTTAATTACCAGCGAGATCATATCTGGAAAGGAAGATTCCGTAGCAAGGATGCCGGATCGCCCTGGACTGTTTCAACGAGCACTATGAATCAGCCGAAGAATCATCTGATAGTAACCAAAAAATTGCTAAATTTGCACGCCTAATTTCAACCCAATGATTATGAATTTTACTTTAGAAATTTAGTTACATGGTGCAATAAATTCAATATGTAAATAATATGACTTCAGTGTTTGGCATTTCAAATGACATGTTTGTCAAATAAATTTTTGACAAAATTTTGCTGCCTCTGTATTATTGTCGAGAAGTGAGAACATTTCGTTCTAGAAACTATTTTAATTCAATTTCAATATCTTGACTTTATATGAAAGGACATCATGTTCTTCATTAGCTCTGAAAGTCAGGAGCTTCATTTAACAGCTTCAGTAATTGAAGAAATTTTTTCCGAACGTCCTTTGCAATAAGAGACACTGTAAAATGAAGCACAATAATTACTTGGCAATGAATTTCCATCTTCAACTTCAATTGAAAATTTATAGACCTTATTGCTTTCTTTATGACTTCTTTTAATAATAAGCTCGGCCATTGTCAAGGCAAACGATGAGATGGATATTTATTTTAGTCGTGCAGAATCCCAATTAATTCAAAAGTCAAATACGTAAAGAACTCTTCATTAAGTTCGTCAGAAGAACTTAAGATCAAGACGCACATCCTCTGCTGTAACGAGGCGCAAATTAATAGCTTGTTAAGAAATTTTCGTTCACTTGCCAGATGTTTGAGTCCAGTTTCCTTATTTCGAAGTCACTGTAGTACTATGAAAGCGCAGTGAAATGCACCGTGCAAGTCACTCATTACTCCTTCACTACAGCATAACTAGTTATAATAATACTATAGTATAGATGTCACTAATTAGTTGGTACAACTAGATAACTAGTATAGTTTTCAGCCTATAACTACAGGCTGACCTGCTTAAATACTCAGTCATAATAGTTTAACACACGATCTCCAGAGCATCAGATGTTTGTAGATTGAACTCCTATCATTGAAAAGATTGCAAAAAATATTTTCATCTTAGCTTATCTTCATCGTTTAAGCAAAAAAATCGAAATTAAAGTTCTTCCAAGACCAAAATTTAATAGCTTTTTATTTCATTACACATACAAAGAAATACAATTCTTAGATATACAATTGGATTAGAAATACAATTCTTGACTGAAATGAGAAATATTAATTCTGAATTTGACGCATTTGTTGAATGTGTGCATAAAACGATCAAGATATTAGTCGATAATGATCAGAATTTAATGTCAATTGATGCTTAGTCGAAACTAATGTAGACCAATTAAAAATATTTCATTATTATAATTCATAGCTTGAAATTTGATCCAAAGAAATATGCACGTACGGTAAATAGTTTAGCCCTGGCGCTTAGTTTGTTGTAAAAAACATTAACAGAACGAAATAATGATATGTAGATGATGAACTTTATTCTTTCTTTTCTATTCATTTCATTTACTCCAGAATTCTTTCCCCAATGAACGAAAGGCACGAAACTTTATCGCAATTAAAGGAAAAGGAAATTTCCTTAGGAAATTTTTTCGTAAAATATTAATTAAACTTACGACACCTAACTTCTTTTATGCCATTGAATTTTAATAGCAATCACTCGCAAAGGTAATTGGCTTATATTGTCTTAATATTGACACACTTTCGCACCCATGGCGCGTCTAAAAAAAGAGCAGAAGTAACACTGATAAGCCTTTTTGCCTGGCCAAACTTGGTCAGAATGATCCAATCCTGGCATGTCAGAGTTTATTTCTTCTTGAG